TTTAAAAATCATTTTTTTTTTGGATTTTGAGGATTTTCTTTATGAGTTATGATAGCTGATCCGATTTTGATACGGATAGCTTCATAAAACTCTCTGGATTTTTTAATATTATAAGGCATAAAATAGAATTTTCGAGGGAAAAAGTCTTTAACACATTCATTTAACGATGAATATCTATTTATCCAAGATGTTTCCATCTCAAAAGTTGGAATCATAGTCGATTTAAGGAAATATTGGAAAGTATTTTGAGGGTTTATTTGAAGAAGTTTTTCAAAACCTTGAACAACTTGTTTATAATTTGAAGGTTTTGTTTGTTATGGAGTTTTCCAGGGTTCTTTGAATACTGCAGTTGAAATGGTAGTATTTTGAGTCGATGAAGAAGCTTATTCTTCATTTTTGGATGACGATCTTTGAAAATGGTCATCAATTGAGAATAATGGTGTTGTAGTTTTTTTACGACTACTTTTCTCTTGAAATGGAGCCTTAGAAGAAGATATTGAAACTTTCTTTGTTTTTGAAATTGTACTCTCTTTTTCCTAGGGTGTCAAAAAGGCTCGACGGCCCGCGGCCCGGCTTGTGGCTCAATCCGAGCCAAGCTGGCCCATGAGCCTTTATTAAAAAAAATAAAAAATAAAATTCATAAAAGGCAGCATTTAAGGCAGCCAGTTTGCTGCCTTTTTAGTTTGAGGCGGCAAACTGCCCGCTTGCTGCATTTTAAGGCAGATATATTATATAAAAAAAACAAAGCTTGCCGGGCTTGGCTCGAGCCAAAATTTTTTGGCTAAGCAAAAGCTCGGCTCGGCTCGTAAAAAAACTCGACCATTTTAACCGAGCCGAGTTCGAGCCAAAATTTTTAGGCTTGGGCTTGGCTCGGCTCGACTCGTTGACATCCTTACTTTTTCCCAATTCATATACTCTCTTTTACATTGAATCTTTTCATAGCTCTCTCTATTCTTTATGAACTTTCTCGAGAGGAAGTCGACAAGATAATTTGATTTTCCTTGTATATATAGTAGTTTGAAAACAAAACAAGACATAATAGCTAGCTATCTATCAAAGATTTATTTTGAAACTAGATATTTTTTACATCTTTTGAGGCTTTACAATCTGTTTTTAAAATAAATTTTTTGCTAATTAAATAATCTTGAAATTTTGAAATACATAATACAATGGATAAAATCATTTCTTTTTGATAGCAGGATAATTCTTTTGAGGGCCTGCCTACACTTCACTATGAAACCTAACCAGCTGTTTTTGATTTGACTCTTTTGAAATCTGCTTTAATACTCCACCATATCCAATGTCTGATGTATTGGTCTCAACAATTATAGAGGTAGTGGGGTCAAGAATTGAAAGATAAGAAGTACTTTTGACAAAACTTTTGCCTTTTTATACAGCTAAAGTATGCTTGTGACTCCATGAGTTAGAATATTTATATAGTCTTTTGAAAAGAGGGGCATACATTAGCTTTTTATCTTTAATAAAGTTTGACACATAATCGACACAATCAAGTAATCTTTGCAGACTAGATTTTTCTAAGATTTCATCAGGAAAGTTATCAGTAAAATTTAGATTTCTTTAAATTGGAGTAATGGTTTCTAAATGGATATTATGTCCTAAAAACCTAATTTTTGATTGAGAAAAAATAATTTTTTTAGCAGAAACTGTGAAATCATTTTTCTTTACTACATGAATGAGTGTATTTAAATGTATGAAATGCTGTTTTATACTTTAAGAAAATATAAGAATATCATCTATATAAATAATAATGAAATTTGAAAAATGATTGAAAATATCATTCATAATCTTTTGAAATTCTGAAGGCGCATTTTCGAGACCAAATGTCATAACATTCCTTTCATATTGACCAAAAGGAACATTGAAAGCAATTTTGCAACTATCTTCTTCTTCATTAATTTGAATTTACCAGAAACTTGACTCCATATCAAAATTTGAGAAGATAACAGCCTTATATAAGATATTTGATAAGTCTTTCTTTTGAGATAATGGATATGTAATCCATTGGAGAGCATTATTGAGAGGTTTATAATTGATAACGAGACGTGGAACAATTTTTTAATTTTGGCTGAATTATTGACATAAAAGGTTGAGAACTCCAAAGAGATTCGCTTGGCCGAATTAGACCTTTATCAAGTAGATATTTGATTTTCTTGATACAATGATCTAAAAGTTCTTTATTCATTTGAATAGGACGAGATTTTGTAGGAATAATTGATTCATGAAAATTAGAATTGTAAGGAAGAGAAACAACACATTTCTTTCTATTCCAAAAAGCATTTTGAATAGTAGAATATATTTCTTTTTCAATTTGTTTTTGAAAATTTGAAATTCTTTCTTTAATTGAAGAGTTTTGCAATTGTTCTTCTATTCTTTGAAACTTGATTTCTTCTTTAAGAAATCTAATATGATTCTTTTTGAAATTAATATTAATATTAATTTTTGAAATAGATGTTTTTTTTTTAAAGAATTTACATTGTTATAACAAGGAGGTAAATTTGAAAAATATTTCTAGTCCCAAAATACTTGTAGTTAATCTCGTAGAATTAGTTTGAAAAGTATATATTTGAAGTATAAAAGGAGTTACAAGAATTACTTCTTGGTCAAGATCTTTTAAAAGATAAAATATATTTTTGAATCAAATATTTGAATTACAAACGTGAGCATTGAAAGTTTATATTGAATATTAAGCTTCTTACCACTGGCACCATAAAGACGCTCAGTAATTTTCTCACAGTATTTTTTAGGAATAAGTCCTTCCCTTATACAATTTTGATCAGCACTTGAATCAATAATGACTTTGGAAATAAATTTGAATTCTTTGTTAACAACAATAGTTATGTTGCAATACCATTTTTTAAGCTGAATTCGATTAATAACATTAACCTTTTCTTCTTCAGATTGATAATTATGATGATGAGAAATGTCATCATCTTCAGAGAAAGATGCAGATGATCACTACACCAAAAATCACTTTTGGCAACAGGCAGAAAACGTTGCCGTAGACTTACGGCAACGTTCAGGCGTCTGTTGTGGGATGAGACGTTGCCATAGAGCGAAGAGTTTCGACAACGAGTATTGCACGTTGCTAAAACCAAGTTTTAACAATGTGCAATGCACGTTGCTGAAACCCAGTTTCGGCAACGTGCAAGAGCACGTTGCTGAAACCCCGTTTCGACAACGTGCAATGCACGTTGCCAAAACTTACAACGAAACCAGGTTTCAGTAACGTGCTCTTGCACGTTGTTTAAACTGAAGTTTGTCGCAAATGTCATTTTTATTTTTTTGATAAATTATTTTACATTTTTCCTGCCAATTAAACCTGTGAATGAAAAACATATTTTTACTATCTACGCACAAGTACTTTAAGCCAACAAAAAATTAAAAGTGCTTCATTTAAGCCAATAAACATGATCCGATATGCAATATTACTTCATCAAAATATAATAAATACTTCAATTCAAAAATATACACCATCTAACCAAAGAACTATGAAAAATGTCTAAAAGTTATGTAAACGATTCATAACCGAAGCTTCTAACGAGTCCCAGCCAAATCTTTTTACATAGACGAGATCCAAGACGATACAAGCACAAAAGAGATTTTCAAACTCACTTCAGCTCCATGTAACTGCAAGAAAGAAAGAATAAAACAACAAATTAATCAAAAAGAGCAAGCAATTTAGAAACAATACAATATCATTTCAAACTTTTTAAGACACAACTATATTCATTCTTTTTACATAACCAGTCTATACTCATTGAACGTATATAGCAGCAGATTTATGTCATTTAAAGAAAAAATTGAATCAAACACTCAAGAATACAAGCTCATAATTAAAACTTGATTGATTTTTAAAAATAAGATCAATTTCTTTTTTAAGAGAAGCCATTGTGCACTCATTAGTAATGCCATGAACAAACTTCCACCTTCAAGTTTGTAGATTTGTTTATGCACACATATATAGCCACTCTTGAAACATGTTTAATGACAAATACGTAAATGAAAAAAATGTAGAAATTTATAAAGTACCTTCGTCAAATAAGTCTAATGTAG